ATTTTTCTAAGCGTATATTATATTTAATTATTATTTTTTTAAAGATGTTTTTGTCCAAAACCTGCCAAGTGAGGCCCATAGAGTTAAGAAGCACCGGCCTTGTGACCTCTCCATTTACCAGCCATTCCAACCCTAAGCTTTCCTTAAAGATTTATTTATGAACAGACTCGTGTGTATGTGTTTGTGTATATGTGTGTGTGTGTGTGGATTGGGTGCGAACAAAAATCGATATTTGAGACCAGAAAAGTTCCTCTAGTTTAAGCCTGCGGCACTTGCCTCATTTCACAAGCTGTTAAAGACACAAGAGAGTTCACATTGGATTATTCTAGTGCCTGACTCCATGTTTGGGGCTTGTTTAGCAGGGTATCTAAACTTTTGATACACCGTTTGGCTTTTGGGGATTAAAAACAGGGACATACACAAAGAGCGTCATTAACACCACACGCTGTTACGATCTTAGTACTTGCAGACAGTCTCACATTAATATCACTGTGTACAGTTTGAGGAGTGACGGTGGTGTTTTGGGGGGGGGGTGGGGGTGGGGGAGGGCAACTCATAGACTGGCCACGTAGTGCCACACTTGACTTTGAGGTGGGGGGGGGGGGGGGGGGGGGGGGGGGGGGGGGTGGGGGGGGGGGGGGGCAACTCATAGACTGGCCACGTAGTGCCACAATTGACTTTGGTAACAAAGGGTTAAATTGAACCCAATTGAAACTGTAATAATAGGTTGTAACCAAATACCAAGAGAAAGAGATGCCATTTAAAAAAAAAAAAAGGTCAAATAATTTTAATTACATCAAGAAAAAGAAAAATTGAGCTTGTATGAAAAAAAAGGGGGGGGGGGGGAAGGGGGGGGTTGTTGGTTCCTATGCTGGTCATGTTCCTGGGGAAAGGCCCTAACTCTTGACCTTAGTTGGCTTCGTGGACTGATAACCAGCAATAGTAAGGAACGTGTTTACACGGACTCAATGAAATCCCTTCTAAACTATTATTTACCATTACACATAGACTCTATATTAGATCAGGATTTTATTACACGTTGAGAGTAAACATGATCTAAAGAGACGTGTTCTGAAGGAGCGGATTATGTCTATCCGGAGACAAGCGGTATACAAAGACATGCATATTGTGCCGATCGATGCATTCCCCCCCCCCCCAATAACATGTATGTGTGGGCAAACCATTTTGTGAAAGTCGTCTATCCAAAGATATCAGATGACAGGGATTGGATTGCTGCTTAGTGATCTGCTAATAATCAGCGGTTCTCAAACTGTGGGTTACGACCCCTTGGGGGGGGGGAGGTCAAACGACCCTTACACAGGGGTCGCCTAAGACTATCGCATAACACATATTTATGAAGCAGCAACGAAAATAATTTTAAGTTTGGGGGGTCACCACAACAGTATCAATAGACATTTCATCGAAATACGCTTCATCGGCAGAGATTCAATTGAAATACAATTCATGAAAAGACATTTCACCCACAAAACATGGCATCGACAGAAACACTACCCTTTGTTAAAATTATGTTTAAATTTAATGCACTTACATTTGATCTTTTTGTACTTTGAAATGATAACCAAAGAGTCACGTAAATGCCAATCAACGTCATTGAACCATACATTCTGACTATTTTAAATAATTCCACCATTTGTTTTGCGATATTTCATGCGTCAGAGAAAGACGTATTGCCTATCAAATGGTTGAGTGACGACCGTGTTTCCATTGCTTGCGCCATCCTTCAATGTCATTTTTTATTTTCAGAAGGCCATCAATTCTACTTTCAAACTGATTCCTCATATCAAATGGAAACGCTGGTGGTCAAGCCGGTTTCCACGAAACAAATTACTATTCTAAGCATCTTCGTAGAAATCCTCCAATGGCTGAAGTATGTCGTCATTGATTTGCTTTTTTAAAAATGACGTATTAAAGCGATCTTCAAACGCTTGAACGATATATTTAACTGGAAGTCAGGTTATTCTTCATTTTTTTCTTCTCCTTAAGAATTTACCAATGTAAGAGAAGCATCAGCAAATTCTTACATCCTAAAAATTCTAAAAAATGAGGGCTGGTTAGAAGTCTGTCATAATGGTCCTTGGATTAAGTAATTGCTTGAAAGTCTCGAGCTGCAATGCACGCCAATAACTTGATCTTGTCTTGACCTGCTGCAACGCACGCCAATAAGTTGATCTTGTCTTGACCTGCTGCAATGCACGCCAATAAGTTGATCTTGTCTTGACCTGCTGCAATGCACGCCAATAAGTTGATCTTGTCTTGACCTGCTGCAATGCACGCCAATAAGTTGATCTTGTCTTGACCTGCTGCAATGCACACCAATAAGTTGATCTTGTCTTGACCTGCTGCAATGCACGCCAATAAGTTGATCTTGTCTTGACCTGCTGCAATGCACACCAATAAGTTGATTTTGTCTTGACCTGCTGCAACACACGCCAATAAGTTGATCTTGTCTTGACCTGCTGCAATGCACGCCAATAAGTTGATCTTGCATGTTTTAGAAATACTTTCTATTGACATTTTATTTTTAACTTAAGACAAAAAAACATAAAAATTCTTAATGGAAAAAAGGTTACGCTTTAAATTAAATTATTCTAATGTAAAGTTATAAAAGAAAAACGTTTTGTTTTCTTGTAATGACTACTCCGAGTGACGTCACACAGTTATAAACCAATACTTGTTCTGTAATTTGTTGGCATAAAGAACACATATTTAATTTTTACATGAATGTCAGCTGCAGAACAAAGCACGACTTGCTACACAAAGTCTGACTTCAGATTTGGACTCGTATAGCCCACACGTTACTTCCAAGTACCGGTAGCATATTTTTTTATTGTTGTTGTCCAGTGTAATTATATGATTAATGACTCAATGAGATGATTGGGAGAGATTCTTGGGAGTACCATTCAGCTATAATATAATACGAATTTCAAATATTAACCAATCTGTTGCCACGTCGGGATTAAAGTTATACGTGAAGCCCCAGAAAGCATGCAAAAAGATTTTTTGCTGCACCTCATGTGTCGTGTGTCAAAATTCTTTAAACGTGCGTTTAATTGGTGTGACTGCAGCATGCTGAGCATGCCATCGTGTTGTTGATTGATGGTCTTTGGTGAGCATCTCATCGTGTTGTTGATTGGTGGTCTTTTCACGGACATTACAGCCGAATCACAGAAGAAGGTAAACAAACAAAAAATGACCATAGAATGTTACATATGATGCACCAAAAGAGAGTTGACCACACAAGTTTAATATGAGAGCGTTATGGGAGATACAACTAATCAACTTACGTGGCACCCACCCCAATAGACCTAACAGTACGCCATCATACCTGCACACCCAAGTAGACCTTACAATACATCTGACCTGCACATTCTAATAGACCTAACAATACATTGGACTGGCACATCCCAAGAGACCTACACTTTTATTCTGCACACCCCAAAAGACCTACCATGTCAGTTGACCTGCACACCCCAAAAGACCTACCATATCAGTTGACCTGCACACCCCAAAAGACCTACCATGTCAGTTGACCTGCACACCCCAAAAGACCTACCATGTCAGTTGACCTGCACACCCCAAAAAACCTACCATGTCAGTTGACCTGCGCACCCCAAAAGACCTACCATGTCAGCTGACCTGCACACCCCAAAGAACTACCATGTCAGTTGTCCTGCACACCCCAAAAGACCTACCAAGTCAGTTGACCTGCACACCCCAAAAAACCTACCATGTCAGTTGACCTGCGCACCCCAAAAGACCTACCATGTCAGTTGACCTGCACACCCCAAAAGACCTACCATGTCGGTTGACCTGCACACCCCAAAAGACCTACCATGTCAGTTGATCTACACACCCCAAAAGTCATACCATTTTTCTGACCCCCATACCCCATTAGTCCCGCCTCAAACCCCAATAGACCTACCATTTCATCTAAGCTGCACACCCCAAGAGACCTACTCACCTATCCTCCAAGAGACCAACTATTTCTTCTAACGCCCCCCCCCCCGGGTGTACACACTGGATGGCGTTTTTATCCGAAGTCACGCTGCACTTTTGTGTACGATCGTGGGTCATCTATCCTTACAATTATGATGTATTTGTTGTGCAATCAATGTAGGCTAATCGATAACACGATATGGGAGGATCAATAACACGCTTGGCATTGATACGACAGCCAATTAATCGTAGCGATCTCACGGTAAACATTGTCAATAAAAACCTGTGTTATGAGAAGTTAATGCAAAAACCATTTCTTGTGTCTCACACCTTGCAGTTATTTCCCCTAAAGTTCGGCGATGAGTCATAGTTGGTTTAGTTGTGGTTAGTCTGCAGACGTCACATGATAAATAGGGCTCAAAACGTTATAGTCATGTGATATGCTGGTAGGCTTATAACGACATGCAGTCATGTTTTAATTTTATATATAGGTAGGCATGTTATACCTGTAGTGGTGTAAAATGTAGGCATGCATAAATCACATTGCAGTCATGTGATATCTAGGTATGCACACATCACCTGTAGGCGTCATCGCCTGGATGTTGTGAAGGGAAGTTGATTTATTCATTTGAATGAAATTGAAAAAGAAGCTAACTGAAATTCACCTATGACTTTATTGCAGGCCTGGACAACTCAAATGTAAGGCGGGCCGTAATTATGAAAAACCTGTGCGGGCCATAATACTTTCTGAAAAGCTTGTGCGTGCCGAATGATAAGACAGGGGGAAAGCTATTAATAAATCAATAATAATAATAAAGAATATTTCGTTACTTCGCGGGCCGCCAAGTGGGTGCTGGCGGGCCACATGTGGGCCCGTATGTTGTGCAGGCCTGCTTTATTGTATTAAGTATCAGTAAATATTTGAAAGAAAATTTGTTTAAATTTGAGGCTCCTGTGGATTTGGAGGGCCCCCCAGCGTTTTTTTTTTTTGTACACAAAACATACACACACCAATAACTAGGAAAAAAAAATAATAAGGCTATTTAAATTAAATTATTTAATTTTCTACAGCTCCTTTTTAAGAATGTGAAACTTACTCATGAGTTAATGAATAGTTAATTTGCTAGCTTGGAATATGAAAATTCCATCAGTTGTTAATCACATAGAGGGATCTGGCTAACACCTGGGCTATAAGTTTAATATTGGTTGTTGCCATGCACCTCAACAACTGAGTTCCCTACCATGTCTCTATGCTCGGCAATGGTCGAGTTGTCAGTGATATATGAAAAAAATAAAAGATAGGGGATGTTGTAGATTCCTTTTATACATTTCATTACAACATGGCATTGAAATTTATATATTTTTTAAATAAAAAAAAAGAATATGCAACATCTGTTTAAAAACAAAATAAAAAAATGGCAACATGCAAGTTTATTTGACCTACAGGTTGAAAAGTAATACAAATCCACAGAGTAAAAGAAGTCAATGTGATAAGACCATTGTTGACTTTTTAAATTTGAAATTGGGGGGGGGGGGGGGGGGGGGAGAGAGAAATAAAAGAATGGGTGCTGGCTTACTAAGACGTCAGTTCAACAATATGGTCTCAGTTCTTTCACTGACACTACATCTTATTTCATAAACTTCACTCAAGAGAAAATAAACTTTATGCAGTGAGTTAACAAGCGCAATAAAAAAAAATATGGTAAGATACCTAATCTCCCCTTGACTCCTCCAATCTGTGTGACCTTAGTGTTAATAATATATTTGACTTTGATATTGGAACAGTACAATAATAATAATAACAACAACAGATGATCTCCAAGAATGAGTGTATTATTACAAATTTCTACAAAATTTTGACTGAAATCTCGATTTCTAGAGCAGTGTTCCTCAACATTTTTTGCTTGGGGGCCACTTTTAACATTTTTTTTCCTCATGGGACCCATACCCTGTTGATCATAAAGAGAAACTTTTGGCCTCCACAAAAAAAGGCCATAAGGACCATGTTGAGAACCACTGTTGTAGAACAGCATTTTTCAAACCTTAAGATTTTGGTGGGTTGCTGGACAAGTTTCTGAATAGCACAAGGGACGTTTGCCAGATTTATTAATTACATTTCCTTTAATTATAACTTTAATATTGATGTTGTGGGCAAGGGCAACGTAGGGCTTGCGGACTGGTGCAGGTCCAGGGGCCGCTATTATAGAGAACCATGTGGCTGCCTTACATTAAATGAAAAACTTCTGACAATTATTTTCTAACCTGAACATGCATTAACAAATCTTAAAATTTAAAAAAAAATTATAATTCGTATAACTTTAAGCATATATATATATATCAATTACATAATAGATACTAATACAAGCACTCCATTAAAAGCATTATAGCACTTTCATCATCAGTGGCTCAACCGCCCATTCAGGGCCATGGCCTGCTCCACCACACCCTTCCCTTTGGTGAGATCGATGACTTTGCCTCCATGCCCGGGACCCCAACTTATGAAAGTAATCGAGTACTTTGGAATGTCCATAAAAGATTCCTCGGGGTGGGGAAAGGAGGAGTTTGTAGATACAAAAATTTATTTTAAAAAAATGCAGACCCTGGGGAATGAGGATGTATCCAAGTTATAAGTGAACATTCTACTCACACGCCAAAGAAAGCGTGGAAGGCATCATTAAACTGAGTAACCAAGAAATGTCCAAAGTTTACTGACTTGTGTTTAACTTAACCGAATTAAAGCTAAATCAAATGATTTGTGAAGTGGGGTGGGCTGCAAAGAAATAAAAATCTGGCAGGGGATTATAAAATGAATGTTAGATGTTGAATCAAGACTATGTGACATCCATAAAGGGCGTAAGGAATCAGTTATAATTACTCAAAAGGGGACAAGTGAAAGGGGAGTTTGAAAATGCTAGAATTTTGTAAACTTCATGTAACATCTGTTTATTACTGCATCACAGGGTCTGTGTATCTTTACAAAATATCTTCTTGAAATCAACAGTAACCCCCCCAAAAACCCAGTCATCTGATCTCCCGGTGCAACAGTGGCTTGTATTAGGAAAATATTTGTGTCAATGCTAACAATGTGTTAGGTCAAGGGATCAAGTTGCCAGATTTCTTTTAATGCAGGCATAACCAGGGTAAGATGAGCTGTGTTAAGGCACCAAAAGTGAGGGTAACTAAAAATAACAGGCCAAAACCCCCTTACCTTTCTAATTCCTATTATTAACATCAGTTGAGTAAAAACTGTTTCAAAAATTAAAATATAGAGTGTGGGGTGCAGTTCTAGTTTTGACATTCCCTCCCCCACTGCAAATCACACTATCAATCAGTCCCTCAGTTTCATCCAGACATTTTTAGCTGAAACAATGAGCTAATATCCCAATCCCATTTGAAAAGGTAGGAATTTCTGTAAAAATCTTTGTCTAAAACTCAGCTGTGATAGCTTTATGACAAAAATATCTTGAACTCCCAAGATTAAGGCATAAAAACCCCAATGTGGAAATAATACTACAAAGTACCCTTGGTTCAGTCTATGGCTTGTTTGTCTTTACTATGTAATTAGGTGGCGCTAATGCACTCCATTCTGTAAAAGAACCCTGCAAACAAAAATGTAAAAACCCAGCATTAACTTTGAGAAAGAAAATTAAGATAGCCTAAAACAGTGATTTCAAACAAAAAAGTTAAATAACAATTATAAAAAAAAACAGCTACAAAAAAGGATTTATTTCAATGAAGAGTTGAGTAATATTATCTTAATGCTCCATGATGCTTGTTAAAAGTCAAGCAACCACAACTCTTCAGATTGGTTCATTGGTCAAAGAATCATCAGAAATTTGCACCAAATTTAATATTAGTACGAATAAACTTGAAAGGGATATGTAAGAAGAGATATTTGATTTAATGCCACACATATAAACCCTTTCAGTCCAGCTACTGCAGTCTGGCTCAAGTATAGGTACAGCTTTATGGCCCTTAACTCTTTCAGTCCCACTACAGCTTCCCAGCCCTTACGTCTCAGCCTCCCTAAAGCCCTTAAGGCCCCTACACCTCAGCCTCACTTCGGCTTTCTGGCCATTACTCCCCATTCCTACTATGGCTTTCTGGCTATTACTCCTCATTCCTACTATGGCTTTCTGGCCATTACTCCTCATTCCTACTATGGCTTTCTGGCTATTACTCCTCATTCCTACAATGGCTTTCTGGCCCTTACTCCTCATTCCTACTATGGCTTTCTGGCCCTTACGTCTCCACACCCCTACAGCTGTCCCCCTTTTACGCTCAGTTCGCTATGGGATTCTGCAACCCCTACAACTTTCTGGCCCTAATGCCTCAGTCCCACAATTGCTTTATTGACAGTAGATCTTAGCTTAATGGCTTTTGCCCTTCTTGATCACTTCAAACTGCAAGTACATCTGCTGTTAGTGTCGACAGTAATGAATCTAATGCAGAAATGGGTGCAGAAGCAGACACTAGATATAAAAGTGATGTTTATATTGAATTAGTTCAACATTTTGATATCCCAGATGGGTCAGAAGATGAAGACTGTGTTGATAGCTCTCACTGGTCTAACCAATTGCGTTCAATTCACATTAAAGAATTTTGTTTAGGTGTAACTGGTTCTTATGGAGACTTATTTTTAACTGAAATCTAATGTTTTCTTTACAATTATCAATAATTTTGTTTATCACTGGATGATAGATAGACATTTGTAACAAATGTTCAAAGGCAGCAACTTAAATGATCAAAATGGAGTTATTTCCCTTTACTTGGTCCTGAAGGTAATTTCTTAATAGGCGCTATGATATCAGAGCGTTCGGTAAAATGTATAAAGCGCTGGTTAGTAATTTAAAAATATCTTGCTGGAGAGATATATTAACTAGATTTTTGTATGGGGGGGGGGGGGAGAGAGTTAACACTACAGCTTGATTGCTATTGTAGCTAACACAACAGCGTCATCGCTATTGTATCTCATGGACATTCAGCTAGATAAGTGGTTTACAGGCAAAAACTCTACTGATCCCGATGCCGATGTGTTGAATCAAAGTGAAGCCAAATATATTAACTGGATTTTTGTATGGGGGGGGGGGAGAGAGTTAACACTACAGCTTGATTGCTATTGTAGCTAACACAACAGCGTCATCGCTATTGTATCTCATGGACATTCAGCTAGATAAGTGGTTCACAGGCAAAAACTCTACTGATCCCGATGCCGATGTGTTGAATCAAAGTGAAGCCAAAGAGTATACCACACCAAAAAACAAACAGCATGAGCTCACATTATACAAAGGTATGTCCTTCCTGCCCAGGAGATGTGCTGCAATGATAAGGCCACACGCTGTCATTCCTGTCTGACATGAAGAAACCAAAGGCTTGCTGAGGTCCACACCCGCTTTGATGAACACTGGTGTTGGAAAAAAAAAAAAGGTATGGTAGTGTTTTAGCACAGCGATACAGTGCAGGAGGCTGATCTGTACTGCAACAGGGGTTGGTGCTCAATTTTATAGTTTGCTTTTCTTGTTCAATCTTCTTGAAATTTTCCCCCTTTGTGGACTGGAGACTAAGGGTTCACAGACCACAACTTTGAGAAGCACCATTTTGACTGCCAGTAAACAATAAAGACTGTAAATAGGACATTCTGCATTAGTTTCATTGACTATTTACCTTGTATTTGCACTTTGGTATGACTTTCTGGTATTCATAGTCATTGTGTTTTAGAATTATTTTTTTGCATCTGTCAAAAATGGTGGACTTATGTAATCATTACATTTTAGATAACTTACAATTCTTAAGGTCCTCTTCAGCTTTCACAGTTCCATCATCATTGAATAAGCTACTGAAAGGGATATTCTTAGCTCCAGGAATGTGTCCTCCAGAGTTATCTGAATTTAAAAAATATATACAGGCTAGATCTCCCTCTACATTGACAATAACATAGCTACTTAATGGTATACTCCATAAAAAAAAACTAACCCAGTTACTGATTGTTTAAAGACTGAAAATTTACCCTCATCTGACACGTAAAATGCGTCATGGCCCCTAGCATCCATCACCTGCTCTTGTTGTGTCTTGACATTTTTAGCCATAGACTCATAGTCCCTTAAGAGATGGGGTCGGAAGAGTGCATCAAATTCACCTGGCTAAAATTTTTTAATAAAAATGTAGATAAGAATAAGAACATTGTTTCTATTCTGCTTGTGGTCATACTTCTTCTAATAAACGAAAATTTCTGTTAGAGCTAACATCCAGTTTACTGCAGTCTCCCCGGAATGCCATATCCTTTACACCTTTTATTACATGTTTGTCTGTACCTTTACAGCTATGTGCTCATAAGTATTTTTATAATCAACCATTCTGATTTGTAATTCAAGAAATCCAAAGTCTGTAAATGTGATAAATTTAAAAAATACAAAAACATTTTTTTCAATTGAATGAGTGATAAAATAATTAAGTAAGACCAATTATATTTGATGCAATTTTATAAAAATATAAATTAATATTTTTTGATGATTCCTATAAAAGTTGTTTGGAACAACTAACATATTAATACAAAATATATGTACAACTCCTGTGTAGAATTACAGTACCTCCACTGTTGGTTCATCTGTTGTAACATGAAAACCATCTGAAATCCACTTCCTTAAACCCCCGTTCAGGACTGACACTTTATCATGGCCAAATAGCTATGCGTGGAATTAAACAGATAGTGGAGGAACTAATGGTATTAATTTGAACAAGACTAAGAGCATTTAGTTTCAAAATATCTTGTAATCAGAATTTAAATATAGATCTAACTCAGTGATTTTATTCAATAATAAATTTGGCAAACATACTTGTGATAGCAAACATTTTGATTTTTTTAATTAGAGTACCCGGTACTTAAAGTTTATTCATTGCTGAGTGCTGAGAGAAGAGTGTAATTAATCCAAACTAAAAATTATAAAAAAATACAAAACTCTCTAACCCTGAAGAGAAACCATGTCCTGAAAGATGGTCTTGAGTTGAACCTGTCATAAGCTATCACATGTGTATCATTGGAGATACCTAGACTTTCCACGTAGTCCTCAAAGAAGTTTGAATCTGGAATCTGAAATTTGATTGTGGATCCTTGTTTAGGTGGGCTGACTTTCTTCAAGTCAAAGTGTAATGATGTTGCAATGTGAGCTCTGTGAATTATACAGGGAAAGTTATATTTATTGTTTTAGTTAGCATTAAGACTTACAGGGAACATTATCATGTTTATTGTTTTAGTTAGCATTAAGACTTACAGGGAACATTATCTTGTTTATTGTTTTAGTTAGCAATAAGGTGGTGGGGTTGTGTTGTTTTTTTTTTGGGGGGGAGGGGGCAGATTCCCCTGATGCCAGACTAGTGGGGAGCACCAAAATGGGCTTTTATGGTATTTTATTGATGAAATAATGGGTTTCTAGTATCTCATAGGTAGAGGGAGTAATGGTGTGGATTTTTTAGAAGCAGAAAATTTTCCATTTTATGGAGAATGAAGTCTGGACAGTATATATGTGTTTGTACCTTTCCATGTGTTCTGATGAAGTTCTTATTCCTTGTTACAAATGTTTGGTTTCATATAACATATCACTCAAATAGTATTATTATTATTTGTCCTTCACATGTGAAGATGACCAAGGCTATATTCGACCTGTGTGTAGCCTTGACTTGAGCCTCATTTTGTTTATTTCCTATCTAGTCAAGATGACAGGAAATAGACTAGGATGCAGTAAATGACCAGCAGTGTTTTTTGTGTGTTTCACTGTGCTCTTCACTGCGTTCCACGTCACTGATGTTGTCTGAATTTTCATTGTGTCAGTGTCATACCGCCTATGGGACTCCATCTCTTTTGTGAACTAGATTTAAGAGCGTGAATGTTTGGTATGAAAAAGTTGTTGATTATGAGAGGGTTTTGTGTAATTAGGTTATGCAAGCTCAGATTGTGGGGGTTAGATCAGTGTATGCTGAGTATTCATTGTGTAGGGAGTTTTAAAAAGGTGGCGTGTTAAGTGATGTTGAGAGTTCTGCAAGTGGTTATCGTTGTAGTGCAAGTGCTAGTTGCTCAGTCTCAATGTCGAGAGTAGTATCAATGTGAGTGTAGTGAAGTTTTAATAGAAGATATTTTAAACTCGTCGTTACCCAGTGTAGCCATGTAAATAAAGAACTTTGGTATTGTCAACCTGGAGTTGTTTGATTTATATCCTACTGCTCTTTCAGTAAACGCACCTGCTGCGGCAATTGTTAATTTGTAAGAAGGAAGATCGTGACATTATGAAGACTTAATGAATGATCCTCATAACATGTGGAAGATCTTAACGTTATAAAGATTGTAACAATCTCTAGGTTTGATTTCAGAGTTTGCTATCTCTTAGGTGAGTTGCCATCCAAGGTTAATAAGTCCCATCCAAGGTTAATGAGTCCCATCCAAGGTTAATGATTCCCATCCACCATTGTGCTGGTGTTGTTTTTGTCTAGGCTTTCGCTGATGCTTGAACTCCAGTCCACAAGCTTGGAATTGACTCAGTTTAGACTGCTCGGCCACCCAGCACCTCACTCAAGTATAATAACCCACTAAATAAATAGTCATTAAATTTAATAAACTTACTCTCGGTAAAATTGTGTGTAACCATCAACATCGGGTTCGGGAGACCAAGATGTGTCTAGAACCCTAAAGGTGTTAGTGAGTTTCGATGATCCCCGAGCGGAGCAAAGAATTTGTTCTCTAAGCCACTGAGTGCCTACTAGGGTAGCTAATTTAGACACTGTCATTTTTTATGGAAAGGCATAAAAGCTTCACTGTTGATAAAGAAAACAATTTTGGATATATAAATTGAAAATTAATTTTTAAAGCAATAATACTGAAATTTAATTCTTTTACACAGTTATTAAACTATTAAGTCAAATTACCAATTGTGAATATTTTATAAATTCAACTCATGATTTTCAGCACAGTGTCACTGTCAGTGATTCTGTGATGTTCTTCATGCAAAATCAGCTTTAGAGTACAACATGGTTTGATAGAGATAATGATACATTATTTTATTTTATATATAAAAATTTAATTAGAAACTATTACAAACCCTACGGTAGTATGGTTTAATCCATTGGCATGATACTAAAATGGCCCACTCTTAACTCATTCAGTCATGATAAAAAAATAACATTCACAATGACTTGAAATAACAGATAGGCCTAAGACTAATTATTATTTATCTTTTAGCCAATAAAGGGCCCATTATTATTAACATAAGTATTGTCTGATTCTAACGTTAAGCCTTAACCTAATTAGGAATAATTCGACCAGTGAAGAATGTGAACAAAGAGCTTAATTTGTGACATTCTATCATCTGTGCCTTTGCTCTAGGTAAGTGACGGCACACTTTTTAGAGACAGAGTGCTCAAACTGAAACCCGAAATCCACTTATTTATAACGAAGTACCAACATTGCAATTAAACCTGAATAATGAGGTTCTAGTATAGGAAAAAAAAACTTATGACGAATAAATCTTTTTTGGTTGTAAAAGAAAACAGCTATTTATTATAAGTAAAAAAAAAAAAAGTATATGAGTATGAGATGATTTTGCACAATTAATGAGATCTTTGCTGTTGTATGTAACAGGCACGCTGATAATTTGGCTCGGGGAGAGGGCTCTGCATGCCTGCTGCAGAAAATGTGCAATCTGTGGGATGTGTTCCAGATATTAATTTTGCATTACTGCCCATTCTAATTAATTAATTTATGAAAGCATTAATTTATTATTACTAAGCATATTAATATGGAAAAGCCTATGAAGAATATTAAATACTAATTTAAAAAGTAAAATTGAAAATTATCTAATCATCAAGTTAGTCTCCTTTTAATTTCTCTTTTATTGCCTGGCTTTAGGACTTAACCACTAAAATTCAAGATTAAAATGTAACTGCCAAACTCAAACATGGTTACAGAGTTACGGTACATCCCATTCACATCAACTTCAAACAAGTAAGTCATGATCAAGTTGACATGGCATTGGACTTGGATGGTGGACTCAGTGAACTCAGTGACTGGTTAATCAAAATCAATGGTCATCGTTTTGTTATCAAATAATCTAATAATGAAATATATAATCAAGTAGGTCGGGTAGATCGATCTATCACTTATTTCACCACTGATTCACTATCACTCAGTATCCCTAGGCTAGAAAGTGCCTAGTAGTGTACTGGTAAGTGATAGTGTAATTTTTGTTAAATACCAGAGCCAGAGGGGTAGTGAAAGTCAGTTTAATTTATAATATTACTAAATGACTACTACTAAACTACTACTAATGACTAAGACTACTACTAAACTACTACTAATGACTAAGACTAATATTTAGTAATATACTACTAAAGATTTTAAAGAAAGACTAAGACTACTAAACTTAAACTACTTAGTTTAGTTACTAAGAAAGAGTACTAGGCGTAACTAGGACTAAGAAGACTAATACTAGTATTACTAGTTTGAGTATCAGTGACTCTCGGTGTATTGTAGACAGTTTATCGTCGCAAATTAATGAATGATGGTGATTTTTAAATAATTTATTGAATGAACAAAATGACACTGTTCAACATTTATGATTATGTTAAAGCATGTAAAGTATACCAAGTTTTCGACTCCTTTTTGGATTTTGCTGCTACAAACTTACGTCCTTGACCTTACACTTTCGTTTCTTCACGTATTAGTTCGCCTAATACCAAGAAGCAGGATTACACCGAGATCGATTTGAATTAGGTAATTTATGACATTTATATGATTTTAGTTTCTTACATCAGCTAAATTATTCTGTTTCCTGATACTCTAGTATCATACACATTAACTTACTGAAAATTAACATACCGTAGCAATGTTTCACTTAAGTTTTAAAATAAAACAATAAAATCTAAACTAATCTCTTGTAAAAGGTTCTGTAAAAAAAAAAAAAAAAGTTAAAAGACAAGTAGCTTAAAAATGGTTAATTATATTAATTTAAAATAAATAGTTCATCAAATTGTATTCGTTGAATATTCAAGCAATCTACTAAAGCAAGGTTTTAAAAGATTTTAATTTATATAAAAAATTACCCTACATTTGCCAATATGAAATTACTTCCCAATAATTTAATTTGTTTTGAGCCATACCTAAATTTCAGATGTAAAAGTATATAAGGTCACCTAACATTTCTAATGATATAAAAATAGTCTTAAATTTAAATACGCACTACTTTTCCTAAAATTAAAAACAATAGACCCCCAAAAAATCAGTAACAATTCTCTGCCAGAACAGAACAAACATGTAGATTAGATATTGACATAGCCTATCAACGATAACCATTCGGACATTCAGAGGTGAGGTTTCAATGAAATAGTTTTTAAAACAAACTTGGAATTCCACTTTAAAAAGTTTCTCTGGAATATGATAATTTTGAAATAAATATAGATTCCTGTCCTATTTTTTTATTAACTTAAAAACATTTATTGAAGTGAAAAGCATTAGTGAATCCAAATGAGCTCCACTTTATTTTTGTAATGCATAACAGGCATAAATTGTGATGATCCTTGTATTAAGCCCCCATTTTCATGTGGGACCTGTCCAATGAATATCTGTGACTGTGAGATATTTGCATCACCTGCTTTTGTTAGAGCAAAATTAACCCATTGACTCACAAACAAGAGTTGTAACAGTTTACTTCCCTACTGAACAAAATAGTTCAACAAGTTAAGTTAAAAAAAAAAAAAAAGGACACTAAAATAAAAAAAATTATAAATTATATTAGATCATATTAGAAAAAAAAAAAAAAAAAAAAAAAAAAAGGACCTGTCCAATGAATATCTGTGACTGTGAGGGATTTGCATCACCTGCTTTTGTTAGAGCAAAATTAAACCATTGACTCACAAACAAGAGTTGTAACAGTTTACTTCCCTACTGAACAAAATAGTTCAACAAGTTAAGTTAAAAAAAAAAAAAGGGCACTAAATTAAAAAAATTCTTATGTGATATTGGATCTGATTGGAAACAGCAAGTAATACAACAATGAAGACTTCAGTTCTCTAAGGCAGTATATGTTAAATCTGTAAATAGACTGGCAAAAGATCTTACTGCTAATCACCTCAAGCTTATGAAATCAGTTTAAACTGGGGCTCAATCAATGTGAACATGAGAAAGTTTAAACAACAAACACAGTATTGTTTTAATAATTTTATATTTTAATGTTCTAAAATCAGAAAAAGAACAAAACAGAATACTGAAAAGGAGGGAAAGAAAATCTAATATAGGTTGATTACACAAAATATAATGCTTATGGGTAAATAAATGGTACAGGATACAATATTTGTGTCACATGTCAAAGCTCTAAATAAGCCAGAAATTAATTATTTCTTTCCAGAAATACAAATTCTTCATTCTTTTTTCTTGTTATTGTTACAATTTAAGCATTTATGCACTTCTGTTCACATTTACAGAATGATATGAAGCTGTGATAATTTTGATGTTTGCTGTTGATGATAGCAATAATTATTTAGGGAATTTATGCGAGGAAATAAGTAACAGTGTAAGGGACTACTAAATAAATGACTTTACTTTGTGCTACCCATTTTAACTTAACATCACAGTATCCGCCAACATTTTTCCTTGCACTTATGCTACGCTGAAACTAATGTATATTGGTACAAGGGAAAGTTAAGAGTCCACAGAAGCACAAACAAAAAGCTACACAGTATCTATGCCGATTAACATAATTTCTAATAGCAAAGCTAAAGTCCATTATTACAAGCCCTACAATATAGCAACAATTTTATGTTGGGGCAGATCATTTTATTTTAAATCCTGAAAAACACAGACTTAAATGAGAATGATCCAGGCAACTATTTATCTTTTATTTACCTAACACAAATTTAAAAAAAAAAAAAAAAAAAAAAAAAAAAAAAAAAAAAAAAAAAAAAAAAAAAAAAAAAATATAAAAAAAAAAAAAAAAAAAAAAAAAAAAAAAAAAAAAAAAAAAAAAAAAAAAAGTGAATAACCAGCAATTTTTCTTCTGAATATTAAAAAAAATATATTTTTTTGCATTTATATATTTGCCTAATGAAAATCATTTGTTTTAAATTCCAAATGCAACCACAAAAACCGAAAAAGCCTTCATGATAATATGATAATGCAAAACATGTACAAATAAATGATCATATTTAATTAGTAAATAATGCCTCTACTGATATTGTTATACCTAAAGTGCAATATTAAAACAATGCTGTTAATTAAAACTCAATCAGAGATTAAAATTAGAAACTGAATAAGAAAAGCTCTTTAAAGATTCAAACACAATTCAATATTTTGTTTTCTAAAGAACATTACATAGTAATAAATCATAATAAAGAAAGAACAGTCATTATAATCTTCAACATGATATAATTTTACCTAAACAAGAAATTAGTGAAAAACACAGCCAGATAAGGATAGAAACAAAAGAGAATTCACTCTACAGGTTTTCTATTAATATCACAAATTTCATTTTGGAGATCGAAATAAAGATAACCAATGAGTTTAATAATTCTAAATAATCCTTAATTTGATACAATAGGGGAAAGAAAGTTTTTGACATTAAGATTATAAATGAATCATTTTGAGCAATACTAAACCAAAAGTGATAGCTAATGTTGTTAAAATTAAACATCATTCAAGAATCGTTTAGGATAAAAGTAAACTGGTATTCGAAAATCAAACTGTTTTTATTTGTATCAATGTAGTTCAGAGATGAGTAAAAACACTTATTATTACATAGGTTATCAAAAATGGAAAAAAATGTGTGTAGACACATGGCATGCATCTGAACAGTGATTACATATGAAAATCTTTCAGGTGTGTGAAAAAGTGCAACGAGTTTGGGCAAATGTAGGTTGGGAATGCTTTTCAGTAAGGAGTTCTCTCAAATCTAATTTCATTTTGATATCTGAATGATACGGAAGAATTACATGTTATTTTAGACTTGTAAAGAAGGGGAGGTAGTCATTACATTTCAAGTTTGTAACTTTCCTTTTCACATTTTTTAAAAAAAAATCTTCTAAAAAATGTTTACTTATTACAAACATTTATTTTCTTGATTTATTAATAGATAAAATGTGTGCATTATTCACAACACCATCACAAAGTAAGTGGTGAGAAATGTCAAAAGGAGCATCATTATGAAGTCCATTAGTTATAAGCTCTTCAAATTTTCTTAAAATTATATTATGTATTAGCCAAAAGAATGTGAGAATTTCATCCCAAACAGATTTCAAAGGCAGTTAACCATATCTGTCCAAATAAATAAAATAAAATTTGGCATACATTTTATTATAATAATATTAATGATTTGTGTGATATTTTCTTCCAACTAAAACTCACTTTTTTGTATAGAAAGGCAATGTTTTGTAATTTAGTTCTTTTTCTGACCAGTCTCAATCAAAAGTAAAAAATGAAAAGGAAAATTTTACTGACCTTCAAAAATATTAATCTACATGAATATGGGTATATTCATAATTTTGTATGAAGTAAGACAAAAAAATAATTTTTCAAACGACTTTTTCTAATAAAGTACATTATCTTTAAAATATCGATTCCTTAAGGACGGATTTCATTGTAGATGCACATCATAAATCTACTCTTTAAAATGAAATTGATGCAAGGGAGATCATTCTAGAAATAAATAAACAGATCTGTAGATCACAAAGTGGTGTTAATTTTAAATTAGTAACATTATAGGAAAGAAATGAGTGGGAACATATAGGTGGAAATTTTTAAAGTAAGTAAATGGAACAAAAAACCCAGACCGCCATGATTTCTATCACAAAATGACAAAGCTCTCAAAAATCACTTGCTTGTGAGGCGTAAAACTACTGAAAGGTAAAAAAAACACGCTTGCTTTCATTAATGCATTAATTTATATTTTAATTACTTAATTTGCACAGTTTCTCTTTTGCATTTTAGGTAAAATTATTTGCCCATTTGAAAGTAGTGATGCAGAAAAATAAAAATACAATCATAAAAATAGTTTTTTTAAATTTGACATGTGAATCTTAAATTGATTGACATCTTAGACAATAGCCACTGTCTTAGAAACAACTTAAAGTTAAATGCACTGAGAAGTGCTAAACAAGCAAAAAAAGCTTATCTTCTAAATCTTCAGCCATGATGTTACTGTTTTCTTAAGATTAGAAGCAAAAGTACATTTACCCATATATTTCTTTATTCTAAGAATGGTTAGCTTACAACAACCCTAACAAATATAACCACACACACACATACCAAACAACAATACTGGGGGGAGGGGGAGATGATTTTTTTTCTTTATGTGAATATTTACATTCTTTCATCTGTTTGTGCAGATGAGTAATGTAAAATAAATTTGTGACCCTTTACCAGAATGCATTCAACAAACTCATGGATTAAACAACATGGCAGAATACAATAGTAAAATCTATAAAAAAATAAAATGTAACTCAATGGATCTGATAAATATAAAAATTATGGAATCAAACTATTCAATAATATTCAACTGCTTGAAATGTGACAATATCCTGTGATGGATGATTTAACTGTCAATGATGATGTTTCTTGTAGGAGCTCTTATGATCAAATTGAGAAGCATACATATTGCATATCTGTTTACCGTTAACATACATGTATATATACTAATTATATGAGTTGGGGGAAAAAACTTTACTCACCCCACTAAAATTATAAGAAGCTCATAATTATTTGAACGTATTATTTATATGTATTTGTCCTGTAGTGGAAATTATAATTTTTTTAACAATCGGAGTCAATTGATTAGTATAAACATGGAATTAAATAAGTAAGGAAATAGGATAAGGACTTGGCTGTTATTGGAGTTACATCCTCCTTATGATCAAGACTTGTGCCAATATTTATATCTTGGTCAAAAAGCAGGAATGGGAGAAGTGAAGAAAAATAAATGGAATTAACAGTTACAACATAATGTGTGAGCAATTTTACAATGGTGGGTGACAGAAGACGTTTTTTTAAGGAAAATTTTTGGTGGGATTAAAAAATGGTTATTACATTGTTGAAAATGATTGCAACACTTTTCTTTTTAAATTCTACCTTTAGGTTTATGTTCTTAATGCTGCTGCATACCTTTAAAAAGTGAACATAATGGAACAGAGGTAATATATGTAATGGGTTTAGAATAGGTTAACGATTACTAACAAAAAAGTGTTGAGTATTGTCAAAATCAGGAATTAACATACACAAATTTTTAAAAAAATTATTCAGCCTAGAATAGAGATTTAGTCTTAGAATATGTTAGGCTCAAAATCTGAAAGACTTGCATAAATATAATTCTGTTGAAAGTAATTATGTAATCTAAAAATGTAAATGTCTTGTAATTTAAATGATAAAAAAAAAATTACACTGATTATAATTTGTAACATATTCAAAATGTTTTCAAAGCAATGGCCATCTGTTTCTATGGATGTAATATTCCTTGTTTCATATTATGTAACTGTCACATCTTTCAAACCAGCTATGCATTTAAATTAAATGGCCTATTAAAAAATAAACACTTAAAACAAGGTAAACAAGCTCACCTGGTAATAAACTGGAAATTCTTGAATTTTATTTTTATTCTTGGTCCATCAATAGTTTTAAAAAAAAAAAATTGATGGACTGAGAATAAAAAAATTCCATAATGTTTTTTTTTTATTTTTAAATTATTTAAAAAAAATTAATTTGAATTTCATGAACCTATGTCTTACAATAGATATGGTAAAGTAATGAGATTAATAGAAATAACATTTTTAAAAATCCATAATTATACTATAATCAATTTACTGTAAACATTTAAAGAAACATTTTTTAAGAAAACAACAATTATTAAATTATAACTGTGCTGTTGGAAGATAGGGATGGCTGTTTCTTTTTTATAAATTAAGATTATAAATATTAATTTTTTTTAAAATTGAGTATACAGTTAAAAGGTGTTATTTCCTTCCTGTTGAGACTTTAAAAAAATAACTAAACATAAAGGTGGTTTTGGAAAGTTCAAAATAAAAAGGCCTTGTCTCACATGCAAACTTTTTAACAAACTCAGTCTTAAAATATAAAGCTGAGAAAAAATGAAAAAATGGCAAATATTGGCTTCACTAGGTAGACATAATGAACGTAACAAGATGTTATAAAGAAAGTGTGAATGAGAATCTGCTGCAGCAAGTCAAATTTCAATGGTGACTTTTCAAGCTGAGGGAACTCTGACTGTTCTGTGAAAAGATCTTCAGGGAGTCGACCTTCCTTGTAATAGTGGTCTAAAATGGCATCTTTCTTGGAGTACAGGTTGTACAGCCAGGTTGTTAGTCCAGCTTCATCTCTTGGGATGTCTTCAGCCCGATACACTCTATAGTGGAGTGGGAAAGAAAACATGTTGGAAAAAAAAGCCTTCTGAAAGAATTATGAAAGTTTAAATTTTATTTAAAAGTGTAATTAACTCATTCCTGCCTGACCTTCTTTTGATGTAAAGACCTCTCATGTGCCTAAGAAATGAGGCACAACTCCAGAAAAAAAAAATAATGTAAAAAAAATACAAATGTTTTTGTTGCTTTAATATTATGGATACTCATGAAGGAAGTAAAAATACTTTAGGATACAATAAGAACCTCCAATTAATAATATTCAAATGAAAATAATTCCATTACCTATCACAAATTAGCTGTCATCACAATGGCCACTTTTAACTAATGATGTACTAGAACTAAATTTTAATTTTTTGTCTCATTCATGTAATCTCAAACCATAAGATTTCAATAATTCTACATTTAAATGTTCATCATAAAGTTTTGCTGATTAACTTCTCAAGAGCTTTGAAAGCCATATGAGGCTTGTAACTTAGTAATGAGCCCAGCTAAAAAACATTGCTTTTCAATAATGAATAGCTGTGGTCTTGCTAAAATAGCAGAAAGCTTTAGCAGCCAATGTGTATGGTAGCTAGATGGCTAAGCACTTTGAGTAATCACAATACAGCAGCAAAATGTCAGTGGGTTGGGCAGTCATTTATGGGAAAATTATTGTGGCACATGTGGCTCATTTGTCAGGAATGAGTTAGACAATGGATAAACTGTTAGCATCAATCTTAGGCAGAGTGCTACCCAATCCTTGCCTTTAGTCCTCCTGTTAAACCCTCTCCCTGGCCCCCATAAATTCCCCCCTCAACCCCACTCTTGACCTCCCCCAACTACTCCTTATACCTATGACCAATTTACTTAAAGTGTTAAATTCATTTATATTAATGTCAGTTACGCAGACAGTTGGCACAGAACCAAAGAAAAATATAACAGCAACAAGCAAAAGTAACTTGGAACTTTATAAATTGTGATTAATTTAAAGCAATTTTCTTTTTACAATTTAATTCAATTAAAGATACATTATTTTTTAATAATCGCCTATAGTTTGCAAGGGCAATAAATTCCCTCTGGACTGTGGTGTGTTGGCAACACTCCAATAGAAAAAAAAAGATTTTTAAAAAATTGTGTCTTGTGCATTATGTAACACTTAGTAATTTAAAAAAAAGGCTTTCAATTAAAACTACCCATAAAAACAGTTGCATCATAGGAGAATGTGGTGAAATAATATCTTAACTACTGCAAACTAACTGGCAGCCAATTACCTATAGTGAAGCAGGATGTCATTTCGAGGGTTGTAGCCAATGCACATTCCCAGCATATCTAAGGGTTTTTTATCTTTATAAGCTATGGTCATGTCAACCACCCATTTCACTGGCCTTGATGGGTCTAATGAAGAGAGAATAAAAATAACTAAAATGAAAACGCAATTGATCAACTTTATTCCACTTAGAGTCTTTAAAAATTACATTTCAATTGAAGCATCTATAGAATGAAATGTTGACATTAAATTTTTTAAAAATGTATATTTAAGTTACAGAGCTTTGTCAAGATAATTTCGATTCAAGGAAATAAATAAACCTTTCAAGGTCAGATTTATTTTCTAATTGAAATCAACGAACCTCCCAGCTGATAATTATTTACATCATTATCAGTATCCTTATTCTGTTCCTGGGGTTGATATGGCACGCCGACTGTGTCTAGAATTGTTTTCATTGCTCCAATTCTGGGGAGTGTTGTGTGTTGCAGAACTGGGTGTCCATATTTACGAGCAAATCTAGGGGAAGACATGAGTAAGTTAATAATATGATTTACTTAAGACATTCCTGGGCTTAGATCAAGTTCTGCTTATTCCAAATAAAATATATATACTAACATACTTAAAAATTATAGCAAAATAGATTTGTTGATATCAGCATCAATTAAAACAAAAAATCTGTTTACATGTAATTTAAATACAAATATTTAAAAACTCAGATCAAAACCCTTATGAGCATACTCTTGGCTGGCCTCTATTCTTTTATATAGAAAGCCTCCTTCAGGGAACACAATTATCCACTTGCGGTTGTGTGGCAAGTAAGAATTGAGAAGATGTTCCTTCAATTTGGCAAGCTGAAATTGACGTACGTTTTTTCCCTGAAAATAAACACATTGTATTATTATGGACATTGTTTCCAATTATTGGAGTAAAGATATTTCAATAAGATTTATGGTGCATACAAGTTTAAAAGTACCGGTATTTTAATCCTCTTGTTTACCATTGAGCTGCACAGCTTTATGTCATGAATCTTTACAATTCGTTAATGTACTGTGGTATTTAATGGATGTATTATGGATGCTCGAATAAAATAAAACTATAAGATTTATTGTACCTATACTTCAAATTTAGTGTTATAGTAATAGTAGAAAAAAATTTCTACGACATTGACGAAATGATTGAAGGCTCCAAGGAAATGGAATAGAAACTCCAAAAAAAAGGCATTCATTGCAAGACTCATAATCTTGAGTCAAAGGTGTACCAAAATTTGGGGCTTATGGACTGGAGAGCGCTTAAAATCTACCACAGTTATCAGTCCTCATTTCCTTTAACAGGTTCAACTATAATTTAAATTTTAAAAACCAATGGCCAGCTATGTGCCTTAGTGTTTTATTCATAACTAGATAAAAAAGAACAAAATATTTTTACATTGATGAAATATAAATATTGAAAAATATTTCCAAAACTTTATTTACCTGATCTATGAAAAAGTCTCCTCTGAGCATGGAAACGAGACCAAAGTTTGTGTACTTGAAAAGAATATACATGATCCAAAATGTGTTACCAGATGCCATTCCTTTCCCATAAGATGAAAGCATTAAAACAGGTGTGTCCGCTGTAGACTGATGGTTGCAGAGGATTATTGTGCCCTTGTCTTGAAGTTTGCTGATGTCATCTCCACATTCTAAAACTGAATTTTTGATTTTAAAAAAATTCCATATTTTAAAAATCAATATCTAGGTTCATCAAATGCAAATATTGTATTTCCCACTTGATTTTAAATATTTCATAATATTTCACTCGGAATTTTAAGCACTTGAAATTGTCCTCTAAGGTCAATATACAGGGTGTTTCACTTGCTGTTTGACCCTACTTGTCCATTATAAATTTTAACTATTTAATATCATTTAAAACAAAAGAATAACACTTGAGATTGACAATGCACAGGGTGTTGCACTCACTGTTGGCCACAACTTGTCAGTTATAACCTTTAAAAATTAAATTAATGTAGCAATATTTCACTTGGACATAATTCAGTTCATGAGAAAGGAAACCCAATTTATTTATCAATTTTTTTTTTAAGGTTTAAAAAAACTCTCACATTCTTTAAAACTATCCACATAGAGACAAGCCTCTATCTTGCTACGGTACAATGCTCATGGAAACACTTTAAATGTCTGAGTTTTTCAATCACCCCGGTACCTTATCAATCTGAATTAAATACCTTTGTAACCATTGGTGTCGATCCAAGTGACAACCATTGTTTGCAGCATCTTAAACATGAAAGCCTCCATTTTCCAGTAAGTAGCAGGTGCCAAATATCGAAAAGGAGTTAGCAGTGTCATCCACACCATGTAGCATGGCAGCGCATACAAATTAGTGAAGGTAAAAAACAAAAATCTAAAGGCATAACATATATATTTGTAAACTGTCTCCATTGTTGCAAGGTTCCTGAAAAGAAACAGATAAATTAATAAGATTAATAATTTACTACAGAATTGAGCTCATTAGTAGAATTAGCAAATTGATCAGATATTTAATTAGTTTAATTCATCAGAAACTACACAAGTCATAAGCCTAAATACTAAATTCATGATATAGTCCAGTTTTAAAACTACTGGTATTGTAAATGTATGACTTACTTAGCTTATCATGCTTTATGAATGCCTGTGCATAGGCATAAGAATTTTTAATATAATATGATATCAAAATACATTATTTTAATTTTTAACATTGTTATATTAAATTTAAAGTGGACTATCTATCTTTTTCACTTTTAGTTTAATCTTTATTAACTTTAATTAAAAGAACACAAAATAAAAATGACACAACATTACATGGGTAAATTTTGAGTTAATGGTATGGGTTTTGCCAAGAGTTTTCTCACCCTAAGCGCAGTGACGTCACATTGGGGAATCCCAACACTGGACTTAGGGTGAATAGATCTATTCTTTGAAGGACCCGAACGATGTGTTATAATATTCCTGTTCTTTATTGAGCATTACTCGCGTCATAAACGATTCGGTTAATATGAAGTATATTGAAATGAAATTTTCCATTAATTTGTATTAAAATTCAACTTACACGTTTCAAAAGGTAGGAAAAAAGAAACACAATTACACATCCTTGCTGATACCCCAAGACCCAACAGCGGTGAAAAAAATGACGCCCGCAAAAATTGCTGTATTTTGATTAATTGAAATCAAAATACCCGTATGTTGAAATTTAGGTAACAAAAGGAAGACTACAGACTACTGCTTTTAGCTTAAATTGCATTTGGAATGATCTTCTAGGAATTGGGAAGGGTCTCCCCCAAACCCCTCCCTTCGCTTTAAATACCAAATAAGAAACATAGAAATTCTCTGGGGAGGGTTTAACAAAAAATATTAAATAAGAAATTAATAACTTGCATTATTTGGCTATTGTTGAGAATTATACCCATGACGACATTTGAGTGTTTTTTCAATAATTGTGCAGGAGTCATTCCCCTTTGTTTATTTTCATTGGAGGAAGAGTCGGCATACCTATGACGTCATTTGCGTGTTAATTCAATATTTGTGCAGCGAAGGAATATTTTAATAACCAGTTGGAACAAGAGTTCATGTGAATAATTAACGAAGATTAAAAGAAAAGTTTAATTTTTTGTTTTTAAAATTCATACTAGGAGTGTGGAACTTTTAGAATGTTAGAAATATTAATGAAAAATAGAGAAAGTAATTTTCTTATAGGGTACTTTAAAATTATGCGGATATAGAAAGGAGTGGTTAAACATTACATCACTTGTCGTCTTTTGTTTCAACGACTTTTGGGTAACTTTTGCATAGCAGACCTTGTATTTTATTGATTTTCTGGATATTATTTAACGTGGAAACTGAAATAAAGTGTGTAAAAATGTATTTCATGAAACTGTAAGTTGGGTTTTCATTAATTCTTTATTTAATAATTATTTTTGGCTATTTTTTCTTGTTTTTGTTCATTTTCATAGTTTTCTTGGGCCACAGTGTGACTGATTGTGTAAATTCCATGTGTTCTTACTTGCGGCTTTAGGGCTAGTTTTAGAGATTTTGAGTTAGGTTTAGGGTTCGATATAGGGTTCAGGTTAGGTTTAGGGATAGGTTTAGGGTTCAGATTAGGGTTCAAGTTGTTAGGGTTAGGGATAGGTTTAGGGTTCAGGTTAGGGTAAGGGATAGGTTTAGGATTCAGGTTAGGGATAGGTTTAGGGTTCAGGTTAGGGAAAGGTTTAGGGTTCAGGTTAGGTTTAGGATTCAGGCTAACCTTTAAAGTTAACGTTTTTCTCGAAACGCACTCTAAAAAAAATACTATAAATTTGTGCTTTTTCCTTTTTATATAGGCAGTGTATTTACGTACGGCGCGCCGGATGTATATCTCCCGCACTATTTGTCCGGCGACCAAGTCACACGACCGCTGTAACAAAGTGGTGAGAGATATTTTGTCCATCAGCCTTGTCACGTGACCCCGAATGATTCAAAACTATTGTTAATTTTAAAATCTATTTCTCTACCAAGTAATGTGCATCTTGGAAGCAAATGATAGAAAAAAAAACTGAAGTGAAAGTGGCTTGTAAACATTTTTTTTGTTTAGTTTGTTATTTGAGTTTGTGTACCAGCAACCCATAATATAATTGGGGGCCAGTATTCAGTATGAAGTAGGCAACCAATAAAAGTAAAAGATTTTAAATTGTAAAGTAAACATTTTAAATTGTTAAAATTGCTAAAAATATTTTTAAACTCCTCATAAAACTACTGTTGCTGATGAACATGATAATATAAATATAATATAAAATATTTTTAATTAAAATGGGGGGAAAAAAAAGGGTTCCCATGCGGGGAATCGATCTACAAATATAATATCGTCAAGCGGCCACACTACCACATGACCACACAAGATCTTCTTAGTAGATATTTCCTTTGGAATAATAACGCCTACTAGTCGTCCGGCGGTCACGTGACATGCTCGCCGGACGTACATCTCCCACACTATTTGTCCGGCGCCCCGGACGTGTAGACACTTCGTTTTTTGATAATTAAATTTTCTTGTAAAATTGCTTATTTTTCAATCTTTCGGTAAGTGTTTGATAAAACGCATTCTCCACAACACGTGTCTTTGCACTACTTTTTTTTTTACTCGGCCCCCATCTTTGTTGACATGGTCCGTGACCTTCTCACGGATCATATCAACAAAGATGGCGGCCATGCTGGGAAACCCCTGGTATCTTTCTCAACTTTTACCCATTATTTAAATACAAACATCGAAATCTTTTTAGTATGGAACTATAGTGTCTGTAGACGGAAATGGACCTGGGGGCAGAGGCTTAGCGAGGTGGGGGCAGTGGGGGACAGATGTCCCCGGCGCCAGCTAGTTAGGGGCGCCAAAATGTGCTTTGATATTATTTTATTGATGAAAATAATGGGTTTGAGAGTTGAAAAAAAGAAAAAGGGGCGCTTTAAAATGGATCTTGTCCCCGGGCGCCAAACACCTTCGCTACGCCACTGCCTGGGGGAACCTCCGTGACCTATATTTATATACCGTGGAACACATCGCCGGCCTTACCGCTAACTCAAAACCAGCCCATTACATGTTATTATTGTTATAATTAATAATGTTATTATTATTATTCAAAAAATTATAAAATTATTAAAATTTTTAGGCCTAAATTTTATAATATAATTATAATATTGAGTGAGGCAGTTACTGTTATGTCTAGGTAAACTAACTTTCTTTATATCTTTACTAAGTTAAGCTAACACTGCTGTACAGCACAACCGTGGTTAGGTACACTCAACTCTGAACTTGGCTCGACTTAGTACTTTACTGACTAAATTTAATCACTAATCGGATCGGCAATCAATCATAATTAACATTTCATTAACTTCATTCCTTATTACTGTCAATGATTAATACCATCATTACCTCCACGATCAGAACGTTATTTAGTATATATCATAACTAAAGTACAGAAAAGTTAATTTTAATGCTTTTAAATGTTATTGACACATTTGTTGCTTGTAATCAATGTTTACTATTGAGCATTGAGTACTGAACTAGGTCAAACCTGAAAGTAGAGTCTAAATACCAGTAAACAACACCACTTATCACCTAGTTATATAAATATAGAGTCTAGTTAAGTGAAAGGAAGAATGAGAAATAAAAAAAAAATATATTTCATTACATTTTGTGTTATTTTATCCATTATCCAAATCCTCCATTACAGCTGGGTTGATGTTGTGACAATGTCTTGGGGCTTATAAAAGTATAAAGTTTTAAACTTATTTTTCATCGAATCGTTGCCAATTAGACCATTACATTTTTGTATGGGGGACAACTCCATGTTCTCAACTTAAATATAGCAATCACGTGATACGTAAACCAGAGAAATGGCCGAGATGCGTTTTGACAAGATTTAATATAGGCTATAATTATAGTAATTATACTGTAATAGTAAAGGTGTCTTACCACTCTTAAATTTAAATTAAATTTTGCTTCACCAAAAGAAAAGCTGATGATCTAGTTAATTTGAGATTAATATGTTATGATGAATGTAGCTGTAAGGAATCTCTGGGTCATTAAACTGCCTTCAGGCTCTAACTCTAACAAATCTGTCGTCCTACACACCAGGCAAGTTTTTTGTGGGAATACTCCAATACGGATTAAGTGTGGACTGTGTGTCCCATCCTGATGTTAACACTTAGTGACGTAGATTTGAGTAGAATAGCTTACTTTTTTTCTAGATCAAGATCGAGTTTTCCTCGAGGAACTCATTTTACTGTCTACTGAGACTAGTGAGACTGAACTGACAAGTAGTACTCAAGTACTGAGACTGTGATTCATGACATATTGTTACAATGCATGAATTCATATTAATTATTATGATATGATTATGATGGTTGCAAAATGCCCCTGAAAAACTGCAAACATTGACTTTAACTTTGACACTTAGATTTCTTACATTTACTAATCAGACTAACTAATGGCCCCAAATGGGACTAATCACTAATGACTGATACCATAAATTTTTAAGTTCTAATTTAGTGTGTAAAATTGCTTTTAAAGTTGTTCTTATTACCAAATTTACAAGATGGGCTTAAGAATTTTGAGACCCACTATGACATAATCCACAACAATTATCAAAATGTATTAATCATGTTGTCAAAAAAAAATTAAACATTCTTATTCGGTTGGAATAGCAACATTGCTGATCTCTGATGCTCTCAAGTTTACTTAGACTTAGTGACCAAGGGGTTGTTCGCAAATTACATCATGCAAAAAATGACCTTTCAGACCCCACCCTCCCCCCCGTCACAAATCCTTAACTCCCCACTAATAAGTGTCACGTCACACCTAAAGAACAATTCTAAACATACATAAAATTTTCATAACTAAACTAAGATTCTTTAACATTTTCCCATAATTGATTAAGATGTAGTATTAGAAAACTGTGACGTAAAGCAGAAAACAATGAGGTCCTCTCCGAGCTGAATGTAAACAGGTATTGCGTCATTTTTTGATATGTACAGAAGGTGTGCACGACTGAGTTTCACGGTATCTATAATACCAGAGACAATTTTGACCTCAAATTAATGTTTTCAAAATTAATTGAATAAAGATTTTTCAAAATTAGAAAATTTCAGAATTTTTTTATTTTGTGACATCATAAATTTTTTGACCACCCCCCCCCCCCCCCCGGTCACAAATTCTACCCCCCCCCCCTTTCCCCTAAGCATTACATAATTTGCGAACGACCCGTAAATTAGTGTAATGTTTTTAACATATGTAGCTCGGCAGGCGGCCCTTTTACTAAACTGTGTCATGTACTTTGACCTCAGGGTTATATACTACACGGCATGAAAGCTGTTACTTTCATCGCATATAATGCTTAGATTAGGGAAAACCGCAATTTGCGCTTTGGGATAAGTTTAATGATTTATTTCTCTGAAACCCTTGGGTATTATTTTATAAATTATATCTTGTTGGAAAGGGGATTTTATTATCTTTACAATTATATATTTGAAAGATTTTACACTCAGCTATGAGGAGTACCAACACCTTCTTTATAAAATATCTATTAACTTGTACAAATTCTAAAGTGTGTCTTGGATAGTTGAGACATGATGCATACGGATACATATAGGTCTTTAGGGTGTTGGTTCAGGATTTTAACTGTTATTCAGGTTGGAGTTGATAGGAATAGTCATTTCACCACAGGAAATCTGCAGGCAAGTAGTAGAGCGCCTTGGTCTCTATACTTTTATGTTAGCTTTCACATCTCACACTGGTTCTCAATGTTAGATGGTGTACTTGCTACGAGATAGACCATGCAACGTGATTTAGTTTATAATTGGACATTTTTACAATATATCATTTTAATTTCCATTTGTATAACATTTGCATTATTAGTTGTAAATTGTCATAATCTGTAATTACATAGTTATTTAACATGTTTTTTGTTAGCTGTGTAATTCAATGTTAGTCAGGGCATTAACCTGTAATATTTGGGTCTATTCAGGTATTGTCGTTTTTCTTCAGCCTTTTTCTTTGGACTTTTTCTTTAGATTTTGCTTTGTCATAGTTTATGGAACCAAATAAAGTTAAAGTCCTGAAGACCTGAATTTTTGAGTGTATATTTTAAAACTGTCTTCTGTCCTATCACCACCACACAGTTACACATAGATTACTATTTTTGCCAGGCCTGTTTCTAGGTGTTTAACCATGTTTTGTCGCCCTAGGCGAGAATTAATAAAAGACGCCCTACCCTTTTACTATTTATTATTATTATTATACGTGGTTTTATATAGCGTTGTACCCCAGCCTAAGGCTACGCTCACCACGCTGTACAAACAATTTAACAAACATGATCAAAGAACTTAAAAAATTAATTGACATACATTAATTAAATAAAACAAAACAAATGTATATTTAAAACTATTTACATCTCAAGCTATGGACGACACTCAGTACCATCGTTTTTTGGTCAGAGGTGGAAATCGGTCAGGATAGTAGAGATTAAAGAGATGTGTTTTGAGTGCAGTTTTGAAGGTTGTGATGTTCGGTATAATGCGGATGTGTAATGGAAGAGAATTCTATTGTTTGGGGGCACATCACTCTCTCCCCCCTGTCACCCAGGATAGAAGAATTAATGCATTATAAATAAAAATAACTTGTATTCAACAGCAAAAATATCATTTTAATTTATTTTTCCTCCATTTAATTTTTTTCCTCCAAATTTGCTGCATTGTTCCGCTGTTTAATTTAAAAATAATTTTTTAAACTCTTTTTCTGCCCCTAAAATTTTGTCAGCCTAGGCAGCCGCCTAGTCTTGCCTAATGGTAGCAACGGGCCTGATTATTGCTTACTCAATTTGTGAAATGTACTTTTCTTTGTGAGTAGAAAATTTCCCCTTGCTGAAAAGAAGGACAAGCTACTAAATGGACAGTTGCATGTGCCTGTTCCTCCTGCTTCTCAATTGGTCCAAATACTAGTTCAGGAACTTGCCCAAGCCCAGAGTGTATCTCAGGTATATTGTTGTTTTTCTCAAATTTTATGGGTTACATTAATTAGCATTAGGCCATGTCTTGCGTACACATGTTAAAGTATAGGGATTAATTTATTTCTCAGTGTCTTTTAAAGTCACGGAATTAAAGGCAAGGCTACAAACAATTTTTTTTCAGTTTGTTCCCAGTAGAGATCGATGTGATTTACAGATCCAGAAACCAGTTCATCAGATCACCACTGATCAAGGAATTTTGTGGCCTATAGTTGCATTTGAAAGGGTAAGGACAATTTTAAGAATTCCAAATTTCTTTCAGCACATTGCTGACAGTGTTAACCACCAGATATATGGACACATCCACTTCGGAAATAATTCATGTTAAATTGTGACATGAAAAGTTTATGATGAAAAGGTACCAGGCATTTGTTCTTTTTATTATCACAGGCTGGTATACTTTACTGCTGTCTTCCAGTTGTAGATGGGAGGGATGTCCATCTTGATGATATCACAAAAACTCCAATTATAAATATGTAGGTATGCTATTTAATTAAATAATCCATGGGTTTATGCAGATGAATTATAAACATCTGGGAAATAAAGCTTTTTAAAAAGCAAAGAATTTTGTTTTAAGCATCCTAGATTAACCGGTACGACACAATCTGTTTATGCCTATAGTATATTTTTAATCCCCTGGTGTATCCTACTAGTCAAGGTCTTTTATCTCCTCTCTAAGAAAAGCTTAATTATGTCTAAAATGTCCATTCCACTTGGCTATTCACCAATAGTAGGGAAAGACTCTGGAGGAATTTGAACCCATTCCCCTTGGTTGAAATTGAAAGGCAGACAATGATACCCTTGAACCTCAGTGCTGATGGCCATGATGGCCAGAGGTTTATTATGTTAGACACAAAAAAACAACAACAAAACTAAATATTCTGGCTGAAAGCTATTTAAATATAAATAAATTTTTACCAAACTAAAGACGGGGCAAGAAGTAATGTCAGTGCCAAAATTGATTTGACAATCAGCTGCATTTATGTGACATATGACATCAGCCATATTTGAGTATTTCCTACCTAAAACTCTAAAGAAAATGGAAAAACTCTAAGTGCATAGTATAATATTTTACTGCAGCTAAATTGAAGTTTGTGGTACTGTTCCTTTAAAATAAATATCTGCAACTTAAAATAACCTGTTGAAGCCCAAATACATTTGGCGATCCATCCCCGGGGGGGGGGGGGCATGATCCTCCACTTGGGAACCATTATCCTAGAGTTAGAGATTTGCTTAAAAGAATTTACATTTATAATACTTATCTGTTTCTATTTAAACAACTTGTCCTTTTTTCACTTTATACAATTCCAGTCCCTCTGTTTCCCTTGGATTTGCCCTGCTCGGAGCTGTTGCTGAGTTTTTAAAAGTACCCAGTCAAGAGGTGAGAATGTAAATGTAAAGTTAAGTTGCCATTCAGAACACCAAAGCTGCTTGTTGGTTTGATGATGTTGGTTTTAAATATGTTGGCAGGAAAGTGGTGGTGGGGCGAATTTTGGGGTGGAGTGGATCCATATTAGAGTTTGCAGAGTTGTGTTGGAGAAATTATAAATGAAACTTATGATCCTACAGCTACCACTTCATGTTTACGAGTATGACTAAACAAAAAGTGTCTCCTAACTCAATGGCTCTATATTGCTGACACAGTTGTATGATTTTTTTATCTCCCTAACTGGGCCTTGTGCATCCAACCATCGTAAGCCTTCACACATGTAGTATTCTTAATCTTAAGATTTCTCCACAATTTTTAAATGATCAGAAGAGAAAAAAATAATTTTCCAATTAAATAAAAATTCTTGTTTTCTTATAGTAAAGGTGTCTATATTTGAGTTTAAGGATTTCTTACGTCTTTATGTCTTTGTATAAAACTTTATGTTAGGATTTTTTGTTGAGTTTATCTGGTGTATCATGTAGTAAAAAAAATATTTTTTTTTCTTTTTTTTTTCTTTAAAGCAATAATATTAATATATAACATAAATAATTTCAGTTACCTGCAAGGCTTGTAGAATTGCCAGCCTTTATAAATGAAGCAGCACCATTTGGTATTCTAAGAGATGGCTCAGCTGAGAACATAATCTCCAGACTTGCTGATAAGCCATGTGCCATCTCCAAGACACAGAAAGTAAGATAAAAATGACCTTTCAACTCTCCACTCAATATAAAACTGAGCTAATATTTTAATTGTCTTTGAAAGGAAAAAAAAAAAAAAAAAATGGCTCCACATTAGATGTTTATCGAGGAATTATTTTACTGGTGCAAACCTTGTGACGGGCATCAAGAAATATATATATATACAGGATACATTATTTGTAGAAATTCTTCATGGAAAGATGAGTTATTTATGACCACTCTTGTTATTCTCATGGTCTTGCATATAGAAACACATTAAAGCTCATTTTAGCTCCACCTTCATCTTTCAACAAATTTATGCTTCCAGATACCTGCATGGAAGTCATCTAGTTTCAAGGGGAAACCATCCTTGCAGCTCAGTGTGACAGAATATATTAATGCATCACAGGTATCATTTGCTGTTCTAAAACTAATGTCATGGTACAGATGTAACGGCCACTTGTCTTTGTTATGTAGGTGCAACTGCTGTCATGTGTGTTACAGATAAGATATCAGCCACCACAAATTATTTAATTTAGAAGCATGAAAGCACTGGGGGGGAAAAATGGATTATCTAACTTTAAGCAACATGGTGAATACCAATTTATGCAGCATGTTATCCTGTCTAGATACATTTGTTATTGATATCATTTCGTTAAAAATAGGATTGACTTTGCCTAAAAGTCAGTTTCTATACTTGGAAAATAAAATATGATAAATTCGACACTAGGGATTACAAAAATAGATTACTTTTTTTTTCAATTAATCCTCCTCTTAGGACAGGTTAGAATTAAATTATTACAATCTTTGTCTGGTTGTTAATATAAGCCGATGAATTCACAAAATAATTAGAGTGTTCAAAACTATTTAGTAAGATAAGAATGTTTATTTATAATTTTAATGTTACATTATTGTATTCTTTTTAAGCAAATTTGAGATACTTTTAAGACTTAAAGAATTAAGACAGCAGTTAATGTGTGATGTTTTAATTTATTTTTACCCACAGTGCGCCCAAGAAACCTGGCATGACAGCTCTCAAGTATTTGGTTCAGTGAATTGTCGTGCAGAATTCGAAGGTGCGGTGACCGACATCACAGTCAATCTGTCTCACCTGGGAGATGGGCTGGACATTCCCCTAGATCTGCTCTTGCTGCATCCCTGTGTGCAGAGGGCAGATTGGCAGGACCTGGGTGAGTTATTTTTATTGACCTTTGACCTCATTTAAGAGGATCCGGCTGAGAAATAGTTGACCACACAATTGAGAGGATCTGTGACAATTCAGGAACAGAATTAAAAAAAATAAATCATATGGCGTACAGTAAGTGAGACTGTTGCAGTAATAAATGTAAACTGGTCAGTAAAATAATTGGCATTGCACTCTTGAGGAATCCTAAATGATAATTTACAAAAAAGTCAGCTTTAAGCCTGTAATTATTTTACACTGTTTTAAGATTGTTGACTCATGGTTTTTGTCCACTCAAATCAGAAAACGTTTGCCCTAATGAACAGTTAAACTCCAGGCAAAGCTCAAAATATATCAAGTGCTTCAATGTATAATTTTTTGTGAGGCTATTTTGTTATTCTCAATTTTTTAAATTTCATTTTGGGCAGATAAATGTCTCATTTAATATTTTTCCCCCTCAAATGTCACAATTTTAAAGCAGAATCAAATCATGATACCAGATTGGCACCAAGGAGGATTCGCTTTTCTCCTCCTGCAGAGAACTTCACCATTTGCCATTACACAGTTAAGAAACTTTTGGAGCTGCCAGTCTTTGGTGTCTATCAAATGAAGGTGAAAACTTTTGACTTTAAATGGTATTTTGCTTGAGTCTTCATGACATAGTTGAGTTGACTTCTTTAGGAATTGTATTTATTATAAGTAATTCCTTTAGTTTTAGCAAAATTTGGTTTGGGGGGGGGGGGTGGGTGGGTGGGGGAGGGCATAATGAGCTTGGTACAAAGCTCGACGGCTCGCTGACGCCATNGGCAAAGCTCACCAAGCTTCAAATAAAAAATAGCAAAAAAAAAAAAAAAAGAAACATGACATTAATAATAGTTACATAAAATTATTCATTTAAAAACAGCAGTGTAAAAATATTGACCTCACCCACCCAAGTACTATAGACCCGTGTCTATCCATGGACGGCACCCAGCAGCATCAAGCATTGTTTATCGGTCAGACGGTGTGAGAATGAGCTGGATTAGTAGAGTTTGAAGAGATGTGTTGAGTGCAGTTTTGAAAGCTTGGATCGTACCCTCTTTTGGTCTGAATATAGGCCGCTACTGAATAAAAGCCACACACTGAGTTACCATTGTTCATATATACCAGCATTTAAAAATATTTTTTTTTGAAACATTGCCTGTTGGCTGCACACTTCGGTTTAAAGACTTAAATTGTTGGGAACAAGTGAATCATATACACGGAACAATAAGGAACTACTTGTCCTTGGGGGATATGAGACCACCCTGACTATTACTTGGTGAGCCTTGAGTATGTCAAAATGAAGCCATGCTAACTATTTTCAGCCTGAAGACACACGAGCATCCATCACTGTACAGTTAAAGTTGAATGACCAGATAAAGAACAATTTTGAATACTGTGAATTGCACATTCCATTTTATACCAGGTAATTGATCTCATTACTCTTATCCAGAGAAATAAACACTAAAAATTTAATATTAAGAGAAGTGTTATTTTGTAGTGGGGAAAAAGGAAATGTGTTTCTCATTATATATTTTGAGATTAAAGAGGTAGATGCTGTTGGTCACAATCAGTTATTAATTCTTCATAGTTTTTTTTATACAAATTGTTAACAAACTTAAGAAAAACTAATGTTATCTCTTTATTCTCTGAAGTAGATATAAGTCGGGCTTTTATTTGTTATACTTTTTAGGGAGTGATCATTTTAATTTTACCCTAGTTCATCCAGTAATTAACATTTTATTTGTTTTAGGGCCCCTATATTGTCTTTTGAGGGAACACCAACTCAAGGCTCTGTGATGCTGTCCAGTAATAAAAAAGAAATTGTGTGGAATATCGGCAAGAAATCTTTTCCATTTCTTTATTACAATAAAATTGACTATACGTGGTAAAAATAGAAAAAGGGCAACTGCATTGACCCCTTCCTGCCTAATATGTTGCACAATTACATTTATTGCCTCATTTAGGGTGCACAGCAACCTTACTACCAATACAGATGACTATTTAAAGTAAATGCTTGTCTTGAAGAAAGTCATTTTTTTTCTTGTAGAGAAATGTGAATGTCTCTCTGATCCTTCATTGCTGAGTTAGTTTAATAGCAAGCTAAGATATGAGATTTTTGCTGTCATTTATTTAGAATCTATTGAAATTGAGTGATCCCTTCATTGGAGAATGCAGATCGATTCCTTGGTTGATGATCCTTTCTTTTTAAAAAAATGTTTATTACAATTTAGCACTATTGGTCATGAAATAACACATCCTTAAAAATTGAAGCATATCCCGAGGAAAAGTAAACAGTTAGACTTAAAACTGTACAGGCATTTTGATTCTGAATTTTTTAAAGTTACAATTTTAAAGTGATTTATGCTTAGCTATCGATAACAATTATCTAGTAAAAAGTGAATATGTGTTAGAATTTTAAAAAGCCCAACGATAATATTTTGATTCTCTTAAAACCAAACTTTAACCACAGATCTAGAGCTACAGGCCTAACTAATTAAAGACGGTTCCATTCAGAATATCTGGTTCACGCCAGAATATACATAAAATTATTAATTAATTTAACATTTAATTTCTAATCATTGGAAAGTTAAAAAAAAAAAAAAAAAAAAAAAAAAAAAAAAAAACCAAAAAAAGGTAGCCACTAATCTTTAGCAGAAAGATCCTTACGACAACTAAGTCCTGTGTTAGTGAATTACTGAAGTTATAATTTTTAAAAAAAAGAAAGAAACAGTAGGGTATAAAAATGTTATGTGGATGAAAGAATTGAAAGCACAGTAAAGATTTTATCTATACGCAAGTTAATTTACATGTGAACAAATTTACAGTACCGGCAATTTAAACACCTTCAACACTCCAATCAGTTTGCTGCCACAAGCTTCAATAATTGAGAAGCACTTGTATTTTTCATGCTTATTTTAAGTGTTATAAGTTAAAGGTTTATTGCGATTACTTTATTTCTATAATTTATATAAATCCCAATTATGATTTTAAAATAAGTTTTATAATATAGTTATGCCCCTTTGATTAGGCCAAAATGGATTACCAAAAACCTAATCTTAAATTTTTTTTTCAATTTAATTCTTAGATTAATTTTATGAACATAAAATTTAAAATTTCCATGTAAAGAAAAACTGCCAACCTTCTAACCATGATTATTTATGCAGGTCAGAAATTTACAAGTAAAGACCAACAAGCTCTCCTGGCAGCTACAGTCACTTTTAGTGGCACTGAACAGGGTCTTCCTGCCCCTACTGTTGAAGATGCCTTTTGTAGGGGGAACAACTCATATGCTCAGGTTTGTGGTATGGGGCACTTCACTTCTCTGTCTCATTTCCAATCTGGATTCCGCATTAACCATTTAAGGGGAACAACTCATATCCCTAGGTCTGTAGCATGAGGCCATTCTCTTCTCTGTCTCATTTCCAATCTGGATTCTCCATCAACCATTCAAGTCTCCATTATCATCTGTAGTGGCTAATCCTGTTTGATGTCTTGGCCAACTAACACTTAAAAAAATGAAAGCAAATAAAAGGTTTCAGTTTGCTGTGTGTGTAAACACGATCTCTCATTTTTTTGGTTCAACACCCCTCCCTCCCCCCCCTCTCCCCCCCCTCCATATTGTGAGTGAACTCCTGCAAGGTCCCCAAGAAAGTTTAAAGAAATTGAACACATTTTTTTTTTTTTTGTTTTTTTTTTAAATTATGCTTCCAAACATGAAATCCAATCCAAGAGTCTTTAAAATATCCATACCAAAACATAAATTCAATAAAATATCTTTATTATTATTGAAATAATGACAATTTTTTATATCAAATGATGTTCAAAGGAATTAAGTACTCATGTCACTTCTTTTGGAGTCCCTGCCCTTATAAAAATCCCTGCAGACTTTCATTGGTTTTAAAATAAAACAATTTTAACATACACCAGCACTTTATTAATTGGTTATATTATAGATATTCAACTGGTATTACATGTCATCTTTCTGTGTCCTCACCATACTGACTTCACTCACAATAAATCATAATAACTCCAAGTTTTACACACACAGCACCTTATTGAAACACTGAGTCATCCCAAATCACAATAAGACAGACAATTGGTGATAATCACACTCCTTTAATGAGACCATAGAATCCCTGTGAAAGGCACACTTGATATACATTCTGACTCTTTGATCTATCTTTCTCTCCCGCTTTGTCGAACATGGCTGATCCATCCTCATGTCTTTTGTCACATCCCTTATTTCTCATGGAGATCTTGGATTATATAGAACAGATTTAATGATCTAAATAGCGAGACATAATCCCACAATAGATATTTATAATTTTATTACTCTTTTCTATTCTTTCTATGCTTGAGTAGAATAATTTGTTGGCAAGGAACATCAACCTTGTGATGTCATTTTTAAAGCAATGCCTACCTGCTATAAAATCATTCAACACCTTTCAAATGTTCTCCCTCGACAATCTTTCTCCAGTTTAAACAGATTACCAGTTCTGGCCTTTATTTTGGATCAATTTAAGCGTTTGCCAGTGCGTTGTCCCAGCTGAAGCAAACATCACTGTAAGAAAAATTACATTTCTAAACCAATTGGTCCTAAAACTGTCTCGTTTCGCCTTCATTCACAGCTGGTGTTTAAAATCCAGGACTTCACACATTCTGGCTGCGGTGTGGATGCCAAATCCGTTCAAGTTTCACCCACCGCAAAGTTCAAAATGACCATCAGTAAATATCTTTGACATTTAAACTGTGTTAAGTAGAGGGTGTGGTTTTGGTAGTTGAATAGAGGTTCTTGGAGTTCCACTCTTGTGCCAATTCCTTTTGATTCTCCATGTGGGGATTTAGTGGAGGAAGTTATTTGGGGGAGGGAATGAGATCTGCAGAGGGTAGCTAAAATATCCAGCATTTGAGTTTTGAATTTAATTCTGGCTTTGATGAAGTGAATTGATTGATTCTTGGACTAGAGAATTCCATTTGATTACAATTCCCTGAGGCAGGGTATCCCAACCTGCGCTCCACAGATCGGGCGCATGCACTACTCAGGGGCTCCGTGGCAGCTTCAGGAACCCCCCTAAACACCATCAACTTGTAAGACATTAGGTTAGGTTTGAAGGGGATCCCCCACTAGAAATTATTTCTAAACAGGGCTTCCCGAGTCAAAAAGGTTGGGAACCACTGCACTTGGGATCTCATGAGTTAACTTTTAGCTTGATGAAGCTACCTAGAACTTAAAGTTTCATGTCACCAAGTAGGTTGTTACCATTATTCATGCTTAAATTCATTTGTTTTTAAAAATTCCATTGTACAGTCTATTATTCATGTGAATTATTCTTTTACAATTTTTACTTCATTTCAGGTAGAGAATATTCTTCAATCGACTATAAGATTTGGAATTCTATTGGGGACGCTCTGACAACACTGTGAACCTTGTATATTTGAAATAAGGGCCATTTATTTACTAACCATATAAGTTTTAATATACATTAGCCTAAACAGGGGCTTTTTGATTGCTCTAACGGTGTGTGTATGTTGGCCAATGTGATACATTCAACAAAGCTGTGATCTTTCCATCAAAAGATAATTTATGCTGTAGGCCTGTAGATGGGGGACTGAGTGAGGATAGGGTTTCAACAAGTATTATTTAAAAACGTATTTCTTTCATGGGTTTTGTCATTTACACCCTAACCCTTTTTTAAAAACAATCTGGCAATGCAGCTTTTGCAGATGTCAAGAAATAAGGAAAATTACAATGAGATAAAATAGATGGACTATGGCAAGCCTGCTCAACATACAGTCTGCCAGCCCCTGCTTTCCGGCTCATGAAGTACAGTAACGAACTATTCTTTTTTATTAATATTTTCTTAATAGCTTTCCCCCCTGTCCTATTTTCTTTCGTCCGGCACAAGTTTTTCATAAAGTATTATGGCCTGCCTTACATTTTGAATTGTGCAGGCCTGGATATGGTATTGAAGACAATTAATTATTTAGTGCAGTCCTTTTGGATTTTCTTTTCTTCAACCCGTGAATAAATATAGACTCCAACACTCCTTACGATTACAATTACATTTATATTTATCAAATTACTAAAGTTGATAGGGTAAGATGGATGTCCTTTGTCTGTGTATATTTTTTATAGGAGATGTAACCTTTGCATTAATTTAGGATAATTTTTGTAATTTGAAAAAAAGTGGTTGAAGAGCTTGAAAGTTCCCACGGTTTGTTAAAGGGAGGTGTGTTGTCTTGTAGATACCGAGTTCATTTTCAACATCGGTGTGTCGTGCATCTGTTGTCATTCAAGTGTCTTAATCCTAAATGCATTGGATTGATGCAGAGCAAACATTGAGCATGATTAGAAATGACGAATTTTAGTGTAAGAGGAATGTTTTTTTTTGTCATTACAATTTTTAATCAGAAGAACCGATGTCCTGAAGTAAAAGGTAGTCGTGAATACGTTTGTTAAATTGTATGTACAGTGAGCCCAGCCCTAAGCTGGGGTACCGCGCTATATAAAACCACTAATAATAATAATAATGATAAATAAGTGAGTTGTAAACACATTTTGTTGTAAATTATTGAGTTGTAAATACATTTGCTACGAATGAAATGAATGGAGCTGGAAAAGTGTAATGTGCCCTAATGCACTGTCATTTCTCAGTGTATTTCATATGTATTGATAGTAACTCAGAGTAGTTTCTACTGCATCAACTAGCATTGATATAAATTGGAGCATATTGATGTATTTGAATTAGAGGCCGACCGAATTTCGGCTTCGGCTTCGGTTTCGGCGCCGAAAGTGGCCATTTTATCACTTTCGGCCAAGTTTCGGTTTCGGCCGAAACTGGAAAGTTAACTTTCGGCTTAATTTCGGTTTCGGCCGAAAGAGAAAAGTTAACTTTCGGTTTTTCTTCGGTTTCGGCCGAAATTGACTTTGACTTTCGGCCATCCGGCCGAAAGTTACTCAGGTTTTCAGTCATTTAATACTAAGCGAAAGCGATATTTAACAAAAAACTAAGCGACATTTAAAAACAAATTAAGCGATCTTTGAGAACAAACTAAATGATATTTAACAACAAACTAAACGACATTTATGAACAAACTAAACGATCTTTAAAACAAACTAAGCGATCTTTAAGAACTATCTAAGCGATCTTTAATAACAAACTAAACGATCTTAAAGAAAAAACTAAAC